GATAACAAAAAGGTTGGGTGATGAAAGATTGGATATCAGATTGGAGGGAGAGAGTATGGAGGAGGTAAATGTATTCAGATATTTGGGAGTGGACGTGTCAGCGGATGGGTCGATGAAAGATGAGGTGAATCATAGAATTGATGAGGGGAAAAGGGTGAGTGGTGCACTTAGGAGTCTGTGGAGACAAAGAACTTTGTCCTTGGAGGTAAAGAGGGAATGTATGAGAGTATAGTTTTAACCAACGCTCTTATATGGGTGTGATAGCATGGGTGAAGAATGTTGCAGTGAGGAGAAGGCTGGAGGCAGTGGAGATGTCATGTCTGAGGGCAATGTGTGGTGTGAATATAATGCAGAGAATTCGTAGTTTGGAAGTTAGGAGGAGGTGCGGGATTACCAAAACTGTTGTCCAGAGGGCTGAGGAAGGGTTGTTGAGGTGGTTCGGACATGTAGAGAGAATGGAGCGAAACAGAGTGGCTTCAAGAGTGTATCAGTCTGTAGTGGAAGGAAGGCGGGGTAGGGTCGGCCTAGGAAAGGTTGGAGGGAGGGGTAAAGGAGGTTTTGTGTGCGAGGGGCTTGGGCTTCCAGCAGACATGCGTGAGCGTGTTTGATAGGAGTGAATGGAGACAAATGGTTTTTAATACCTGACTTGCTGTTGGAGTGTGAGCAAAGTAACATTTATGAAGGGTTCAGGGAAGCCGGCAGGCCGGACTTGAGTCCTGGAGATGGGAAGTATAGTACCTGCACTCTGAAGGAGGGGTGTTAAAGTTGCAGTTTAAAAATTGTAGTGTAAAGCCCCCCTTCTGGCAAACGTGATGGAGTGAATGATGGTGAAAGTTTTTCTTTTTTGGGCCACCCTGCCTTGGTGGGAAACGGGCCCGTGTGAATAAAAATTTTAAAAAAATATATGTATATATATATAATATATATATAATATAATACTATTATATATATATATATATTATATATATATATATATATTATATAATATTAAAAAATATTATATATATATATATATTATAATTATAAAGTACCACCCCTAGAATGTTATAGGGACCCTCATCCTCAGAGAAAGCATGTAGGTAATGGGAACAAGCCATATCTGTCTCAGTGCTGGTGGAAATGATATGGGAAGGGTAGGAGAGAAGAGCTGCTAGATAAGTACAGGTCAGCTATAGATTTCATTAAGTCTAAGGGAGGGATTCCCAATCATATGTAGCATCTTGCCTAGAAGGGGAGTAGGAAATGAATGGTTGTCTAGGGCAATTGGTGTAAATTGCTGGCTAGACAGATACTGCAAGGAACTTGCAATACCATTCATTGACAACTGGAACAACTTTTATGGCAAACATGATATGTATGCAAGGGATGGGGTACATCTCTCTGGGGCAGGGGTGGTAGCACTTGCAGACTCGATTGAGAAGGCCATTGGTGAAATGCCTATGATTTTAAACTGATGGAAGATAGAGGTATGGGTGTGTGTGGGAAACAAGCAGGTTGCAACACTAGGGTTGGAAACAGTAAATGTATAAAAGGCATTCAGCATGAAGTTATAAATAAAGACAATAGATCAGGTCAGCAAACAAAGGGGGACAGTAGAGGGCAGCAAGGGACTAGCTCCCTTAAGGTTTACTATACTAATAGCAGGAGTGTAAGAAATAAGATAGATGAGCTAAGATTAATTGCAAGTGCAGGAAACATAGATATTATTGCTATAACAGAGACCTGGCTCAATCTGAAAGATAGAGAGATGCCCTCTGAATGTCACATACAAGGCTATAAATTATTCCACACTGACAGGGTCAACAGGAAAGGTGGTGGAGTAGCGATGTAAGTCAGAGACAATTTAAATTGTTGTGTTAGACAAGATATTAAATTAGAAGCGTCAGCCACTGAATCTGTTTGGTTACAGCTTCTCGAGAGCCGAGAAAAACTAATTTTGGGTGTGATTTACAGGGCCCCAAATCTTGATAGGGAGTGCAGTAAACTTCTATGGGACGAAATTCGTAATGGGAGATTTCAACTATAGACAGATTGACTGGAGCAATTTGACAGGAAATTTAGAGTCAGGTGACTTTCTTGATACGATCCAGGATTGTTTTTTAAAACAGTTTGTGACAGAGCCTACTAGGGGAAATAACCTCCTTGACTTGGTTCTTGCCAGTAGGGAAACAATAATTAATAATCTTGAGGTTAATGATGAGCTTGGGGAAAGTGATCACAAATCACTCAGTTTTAATATATCATGGAATTCCCCTAATAATGGCAATCAAGTCTCCGTCCCTGACTTTCGCTTGGCTGATTTCATAGGACTGAAAAATTACTTAGGTGGGGCTGAACTGGAATGACCTGACTAAGGGTCAGGTAGGTGGTGATGGTTGCCGATATGATGCTTTCCAGGGCATAGTTCTAGCTGCTCAGTCAAATTATGTTCCAAATAGGGAAATCAGATCAAACAAAAATGATCCTAAATGGATGAACAATAGATTAAAATATCTGATTGGTCAAAAGAGAGGCATATATAGGCAAATCAAAAGAGGAGAGGGGCAATTAAGAAATCGATATATTCAGTTAAAGAGAGTAATAAAAAAGGGAATTAGAAAAGCAAAAAGAGATTATGAGGTTAAAGTTGCAAGAGAATCGAAGACTAACCCAAAAGGATTCTTTCAGGTATACAGAAGTAAGATCAGGGACAAGATAGGCCCACTCAAAAGTTCCTCGGGTCAGCTCACTGACAGTGATAAGGAAATGTGTAGAATTTTTAACACATACTTCCTCTCAGTTTTTACACAGGAGGATACCAGCGATATTCCAGTAATGATAAATTATGTAGAACAGGACGCTAATAAACTGTGCACGATTAGGGTCACAAGTGACATGGTCCTTAGGCAAATAGATAAATTAAAACCTAACAAATCCCCAGGCCCTGATGAACTGTATGCAAGGGTTCTAAAGGAATGTAAAGAGGAGCTTAGCACACCTTTGGCTAATCTTTTCAACATATCACTACAAACTGGCATGGTGCCAGATAAGTGGAAAATGGCAAATGTGATACCTATTTTCAAAATAGGTGACAGGTCCTTAGCTTCGAACTATAGACCAATAAGCCTAACCTCCATAGTGGGAAAATTTATGGAATCAATAATTGCCGAGGCAGTTCGTAGCCACCTGGAAAAGCATAAATTAATCAACGAATCTCAGCATGGTTTTACAAAGGGGCGTTCCTGCCTTACGAATTTATTAACTTTTTTCACTAAGGTATTTGAGGAGGTAGATCATGGTAATGAATATGATATTGTGTATATGGACTTCAGTAAGGCTTTTGACAGGGTCCCACATCAGAGACTATTGAGGAAAATTAAAGCACATGGAATAGGAGGAGAAATTTTTTCCTGGATAGAGGCATGGTTGACAAATAGGCAGCAGAGAGTTTGCATAAATGGGGAGAAATAAGAGTGGGGAAGCGTTACGAGCGGTGTTCCACAGGGGTTATTATTATTAAATATTCGCCGGTATTCTCCCGGCCCGGGCCTTTTCCAAGTGGTGGCCCGGCCTTGACTCCCTCTGTAGGGAGTGTCTGAGACCTAAGTCTCCCATGGGAGGAGGCATAAGTACCTCCTCATCTTTGGGACCAACTGTCCCTAGGCCTAGCCACAAGCTAGGCCTCTCTGGTCTGCCATCCCCGCCACAAGGGGGCTAATGGGAAATGACAGTCTTATGAGCTAAAGGCTCGGGCTCAGGCACCTACCCTACCCTAGAAGGGTTAGGCATGGTGTCGATCCTTCCACAGGGGTCAGTGTTGGGCCCCCTGCTGTTCACAATCTACATAAACGACATAGATGAGGGCATAAAGAGCGACATCGGCAAGTTTGCCGATGACACCAAAATAGGCCGTCGAATTCATTCTGACGAGGACATTCGAGCACTCCAGGAAGATTTGAATAGACTGATGCAGTGGTCGGAGAAGTGGCAGATGCAGTTTAATATAGACAAATGCAAAGTTCTAAATGTTGGACAGGACAATAACCATGCCACATATAAACTAAATAATGTAGATCTTAATATTACGGATTGCGAAAAAGATTTAGGAGTTCTGGTTAGCAGTAATCTGAAACCAAGACAACAGTGCATAAGTGTTCGCAATAAAGCTAATAGAATCCTTGGCTTCATATCAAGAAGCATAAATAATAGGAGTCCTCAGGTTGTTCTTCAACTCTATACATCCTTGGTTAGGCCTCATTTAGATTATGCTGCACAGTTTTGGTCACCGTATTACAGAATGGATATAAATTCTATGGAAAATGTACAAAGGAGGATGACAAAGTTGATCCCATGTTTCAGAAACCTTCCCTATGAGGATAGACTAAGGGCCCTGAATCTGCACTCTCTAGAAAGACGTAGAATTAGGGGGGATATGATTGAGGTGTATAAATGGAAGACAGGAATAAACAAAGGGGATGTAAATAGTGTGCTGAAAATATCTAGCCTAGACAGGACTCGCAGCAATGGTTTTAAGTTGGAAAAATTCAGATTCAGGAAGGATATAGGAAAGTACTGGTTTGGTAATAGAGTTGTGGATGAGTGGAACAAACTCCCGAGTACAGTTATAGAGGCCAGAACGTTGTGTAGCTTTAAAAATAGGTTGGATAAATACATGAGTGGATGTGGGTGGATGTGAGTTGGACCTGATAGCTTGTGCTACCAGGTCGGTTGCCGTGTTCCTCCCTTAAGTCAATGTGACCTGACCTGACTAGGTTGGGTGCATTGGCTTAAGCCGGTAGGAGACTTGGACCTGCCTCGCATGGGCCAGTAGACCTTCTGCAGTGTTCCTTCTTTCTTATGTTCTTATGTTCTTATAACCAAAGTTCCAGCAGCTGGTCATTATAAGACTAAGTCCAGCATCAAGAAAAACTTGTTCTATTTTCTGACGAACCTACCTAGCATATAATATAATTAATGATGCATTGCATTCATGGAGTTTATTTTATTTTGGACATTCAGGAAGCTGGTGACTGGTGGTGTTGGTGGCGGCGACGGTGGTGGTGGCGGTGGTGCCGGTGTTGGTGGTGGTAGAGGCGGCGGCGGTGCTGGAAGAGGCCTCCACATGTGGAAACCTGTGTTGCAACAGCGTGTAGGCATGATGCCTATCATTATCAACTCTGGCACGGGCAATGGAACAGAATTGATCTACGGTACCTGTATGCCTGATGCCTGTACCGCGAGGCAGCTTGAGGTACCTGCCTGTGAAGCCGGGGTATTACCCATGGTCTGTCCTTTAGTGTAGCCCCTACTGTAACTCCTGGTGCAACCTTTGTTGTAGCCCCTGGTGTGGTCCCTGTTGTAACCCCTGGTATAACCCCTAGTGTAGACCCTGGTGTAGCCCGGTGGCCTGGTGGCTAAAGCTCCCGCTTCACACACGGAGGGCCCGGGTTCGATTCCCGGCGGGTGGAAACATTTCGACACGTTTCCTTACACCTGTTGTCCTGTTCACCTAGCAGCAAATAGGTACCTGGGGGTTAGTCGACTGGTGTGGGTCGCATCCTGGGGGACAAGATTAAGGACCCCAATGGAAATAAGTTAGACAGTCCTCGATGACGCACTGACTTTCTTGGGTTATCCTGGGTGGCTAACCCTCCGGGGTTAAAAATCCGAACGAAATCTTATCTTATCTTAGCCTCGAGTGTAACTCCTGGTGTAACCCCAAGTGTAGCCCCTGGTGTCTGTGTCACACCAACGCTGTGTACACTCATATATGATTCATCACATCTATGTATGTTTGTTGGGAATACTTTACACTGACACATTTTTTTTCTTCTCTTGGGCTGATTTGAATGTTTAAATTTCATGCATATCTTCTCTTCCTGGTCATACCCTTGACGAACAGCCTGTCTACTCGGTATTGTTTGTGTCTTTAAGTATCTTGTATTTTGTAAATACGTCACCTCTTAGTCTTCGTTTATCTAGTGATGCAGTTTTGAGTTCCCTGACCCACTTTATCTTAACACGGCGCCTTTGTATCGTCAGTTATCTTAAATACAAACATTATGATATATTTAAGAGAATGTGGGTTCCATATTTACGCTGCATACTCCAAGTTTTTGGTAAGTTATTTTATGAAATACTGACAAGTGTGAAATGAGACACATATGTAGTGTAAGGATATTTTATTGTGGAAACATTTGGCCACGATCGTCTTTTTCAGTTCTGAAGAACCGATGAAATCATTCATGGTGAAATATTTCCTCGATAAAATATTCAGACACTGCACACAGGTCTCATTTTCAAAATTTGTCTTAGACATGGGGTGTTAAAACTACTGAAAGATTCCTTGTTAAGATTACGCAAGACTATTCACGCAGTTGTAAACCATGTTTGTTTTGTTTATGAGCATCCTAGCTGACAAGTTCGACGTGATGGTAACTCCCTAGCCCATCTTCCTAACGAGAGAAGCTACCTGTATTTCCCACCTTCACTTAATAATATTCCACCTGTCTTCTTTACCTTGATCCCCCTTTCCACCACCTGTTTGTTGAGCTCTAACTACAGTAGCAACTCGACGTATCATTCCACGGTATTATTGCACTTATGGAGAAGCGCTGAACCAGGAAAGGTCATACAGCGTCTGGAGAATGAAAGGTAATTAGGTTTGATCCCAGGAAGGGAAGGGTTGTTGCAATTCTTTGGATCAAGCGTTCTACACCAGCATCAAGGCACCTCTTTATAAGGCAGTATTATTGAAGCAGTTCACTCTTACCCTGGAACGAAGACAGCGACAGTCATCTTGAGAGCCAGATAAATACATGTTTGGTGCAACTGTTCCTCAAAAGTCTAGGGTTATAGAACAAGAGGTAACAGACCATAAACAAGATGTTAGTCTTCAAGTTGATCCCACAAGACTGGACCAAGTGAAGACCCCCTTATAAAAATTTTGCAAAGATTATCACTTTAAAAACACTGAAGAGTTTTTCAATTATAATGTTTTAATGGTAATATTGCATTTGCAAGGCGTCGGTGTTCATCATCAGGAATGTGAGTGTGTCCTCATCTGCCACTGATGTCCTTATACTACTCCCGATAGTTTGAGTCCAAGGTGGACAAAAGTCACTGAAAGTTAAGAGTGCAGTGTACTTATAGTGATGAAAATCTTATCATGCATGTGAGAATCACCAAGTCCATTTATTATCAAACCAGGGAACGGATGGAGTTTGATCCCGTTGCAGGTGAACCCTAAAACTCACAGGCCAGTGCGTTAACAGTTCTGTAATTTGTTTGCAATCGTGTTATTATGATTTCGTGAAACCATACATTAATACCAACCGGTATATGTCTTGCGTGTTAAATATTGCGAAAGTAATCGTAACTTCGTGAATAAAATCATTCTCCTAAAATATACTCAAAGTGGTCCTACTTTACTTACTTCTCGCCTCATTATCTATCAGCTACCTTTTTTTTCCACTACTTCATCCTTCCCGATTCATTTCCCTCTTAGTTCTTGTCATTACTTTTATGGCCTAAAAAATACAAAACGTTCACGGAGTCTTACAGGAAAGTTACAGCCTCGGTCTTCTCCCCCTGCAGGAGAGCCTCCTTCAGGAATATGCTGCAAATGACTATAAAATCGAGAGCGTAACTTGTCAACCAGATGAAATATGGAGTACTTTCACCGCAGGTGATATTGTGTATACGTGAGTATGTTCATACGGTGTTCTTGTATTAGTACGTAATACAATGACCATGAAAATCCCTTCAGTATTTTGTCTTGACCGTTATATTTAAGAAATTATTATTATAATTGTTATTATTATTATTATTATTATTATTATTATTATTATTATTATTATTATTATTATTATTATTATTATTATTATTATTATTATTATTATTATTATTATCATTCTTATTATTATTATTATTATTATTATTATTATTATTATTATTATTATTATTATTATTATTATGATGGATGATGCGCTAAACAGGTAGGATGTCATACGGTGACTGGAGAATGGGAGGAAATCAGGTTTGAGTGAAGGAAAATAAAGGTTGATGAGAGTCATCAAGGCGTCCCTCTACCTTGAAGGATTTACTTAAGACAACGTGAGCGCTGACTGAAAATTTTAGTTTCACTAACATAGACTTTAGGAGTAGACTAAACATGACAAGAAATATCAAGGAAGTGAACTGGAACTCTGATAGACAACTTCACATTGTATTGATTTCTTTTTCATAGGCTGTTCCTTCACCTAGGCTGTTCCTTCACCCAGGCTGTTCCTTCACCCAGGCTGTTCCTTCACCCAGGCTGTTCCTTCACCCAGGCTGTTCCTTCACCCAGGCTGTTCCTTCACCCAGGCTGTTCCTTCACCCAGGCTGTTCCTTCACCCAGGCTGTTCCTTCACCCAGGCTGTTCCTTCAAACAGGCTGTTCCTTCACCCAGGATGTTCCTTCACCCAGGCTGTTCCTTCACCCAGGCTGTTCCTTCACCCAGGCTGTTCCTTCATCCAGGCTGTTCCTTCACCCAGGCTGTTCCTTCACCCAGGCTGTTCCTTCACCCAGGCTGTTCCTTCACCTAGGCTGTTCCATCACCTAGGCTGTTCCTTCACCTAGGCTGTTCCTTCACCCAGGCTGTTCCTTCACCCAGGCAGTTCCTTCACCCAGGCTGTTCCTTCACCCAGGCTGTTCCTTCACCCAGGCTGTTCCTTGTTACAAAAAAACGCGATTCTAAAAGCTTAGAGATCTCCAGTGAATACTAGAAAGGACTGCCCTTTTAGCATCCAGCCTGTTACTGGGTTTTCGTAACAAGTAGTCAGTATCCTTGTCCAATTATCCATTAGAATTCAATAGAAATTAATAGTGCTTCAGGATTACAACTGGTAGGCTACTAACTAGAGAAATTAAAATTTAATAAATTTATTAAGTCTAGAGGTATATTATCAAATTAAATTAAATTAAATTAATCACAGTAATCAAAATAATATCACATCTCTCGAGTTCAATATTATTGTGCTGAAAGCACATATCACATTTATAATTCTTAAGTACCGTCTGGTACATTAACATTTAATAAGATATTACAAATATGTACAAGTAAGTTTGTGTATGTAAGTGCTCTAAGTAGTTCACTATGTCTCACGACTCGACTAGACTTAAACAAGTGACTGACAAAGTCCTCACATCAACTAACTTCTTGACCGACTGGCAACCAGAACAGTCTGCTTGAACAACAAAAGAATGCTAAGCCCAATAGCAATATAACAAGCAACTGCGACACAGAATCAGGAACAAGGAGATAATATAAAGACACTAAGTAGGGACCATCAGCAGATCCTCCACAAAAGTCACAAAACTCCCATACTACTGAATCTAAGTTCAGCATAAGAAAATCCCTGACTGTGATAATACACAGATACCAGTACAAGTTAAGTGAGAAGTTACAACTCAGGACCTGAGATGTTTCGAGTGTCTATGTGACACACAACCTCAGTACAACGTCGAAAATCACTAAGTCTATACAATGTTCTGTGAACAGAGTTCTACAGAACAAGAATAATGAGACAGTCAATCTGTCCAACCACCAAGAGAGTCTAGACCAGCTTGAATACTTCAGGCGAGGTGAGGACACCCCCCCCCCTCGATCACGTGATAGCTCCATGGACAGCAGTCGCCCAGCAAGAAGCCGGCAATATAACGAGCAAACAGCGATAATTACAGTAGTTAGACAATCAAGACTTGAACTGAGCACATAATATGTTACATCCTACCTAACAAAGAAAATTACGTCAAATAACAATATAAAGCAATACATTTACGATTTAGCTATTATCGCAAATATAAGCAATATAAAATTAAATGAAAAGGTAATAATTATATATATACATAATAATCATTGCAACCCATTCAGGGGTTGCAACATTCCTTCACCTAGGCTGTTCCTTCACCCAGGCTGTTCCTTCACACAGGCTGTTCCTTCACCCAGACTGTCTTCACCGGGCTGTTCCTTCACCCAGGCTGTTCCTTCACCAGGCTGTTCTCACCCAGGCTGTTCCTTCACCCAGGCTGTTCCTTCACCCAGGCTGTTCCTTCACCCAGGCTGTTCCTTCACCCAGGCTGTTCCTTCACCCAGGCTGTTCCTTCACCCAGGCTGTTCCTTCACCCAGGCTGTTCCTTCACCCAGCTGTTCCTTCACCCAGGCTGTTCCTTCACCCAGGCTGTTCCTTCACCCAGGCTGTTCCTTCACCCAGGCTGTTCCTTCACCCAGGCTGTTCCTTCACCCAGGCTGTTCCTTCACCCAGGCTGTTTCCATCCTACCCAGGCTGTTCCTTCACCCAGGCTGTTCCTTCACCCAGGCTGTTCCTTCACCCAGCTGTTCCTTCACCCAGGCTGTTCCTTCACCCAGGCTGTTCCTTCACCCAGGCTGTTCCTTCACCCAGGCTGTTCCTTCACCCAGGCTGTTCCTTCACCCAGGCTGTTCCTTCACCCAGGCTGTTCCTTCACCCAGGCTGTTCCTTCACCCAGGCTGTTCCTTCACCCAGGCTGTTCCTTCACCCAGGCTGTTCCTTCACCCAGGCTGTTCCTTCACCCAGGCTGTTCCTTCACCCAGGCTGTTCCTTCACCCAGGTTGTTCCTTCACCCAGGCTGTTCCTTCACCCAGACTGTTCCTTCACCCAGGCTGTTCCTTCACCCAGGCTGTTCCTTCACCCAGGCTGTTCCTTCACCCAGGCTGTTCCTTCACCCAGGCTGTTCCTTCACCCAGGCTGTTCCTTCACCCAGGCTGTTCCTTCACCCAGGCTGTTCCTTCACCCAGGCTGTTCCTTCACCCAGGCTGTTCCTTCACCCAGGCTGTTCCTTCACCCGGGACTGTTCCTTCACCCAGGCTGTTCCTTCACCCAGGCTGTTCCTTCACCCAGGCTGTTCCTTCACCCAGGCTGTTCCTTCACCCAGGCTGTTCCTTCACCCAGGCTGTTCCTTCACCCAGGCTGTTCCTTCACCCAGGCTGTTCCTTCACCCAGGCTGTTCCTTCACCCAGGCTGTTCCTTCACCCAGGCTGTTCCTTCACCCAGGCTGTTCCTTCACCCAGGCTGTTCCTTCACCCAGGCTGTTCCTTCACCCAGGCTGTTCCTTCACCCAGGCTGTTCCTTCACCCAGGCTGTTCCTTCACCCAGCTGTTCCTTCACCCAGGCTGTTCCTTCACCCAGGCTGTTCTTCACCCAGGCTGTTCCTTCACCCAGGCTGTTCCTTCACCAGACTGTTCCTTCACCCAGGCTGTTCCTTCACCCAGGCTGTTCCTTCACCCAGGCTGTTCCTTCACCCAGGCTGTTCCTTCACCCAGGCTGTTCCTTCACCCAGGCTGTTCCTTCACCCAGCTGTTCCTTCACCCAGGCTGTTCCTTCACCCAGACTGTTCCTTCACCCAGGCTGTTCCTTCACCCAGGACTGTTCCTTCACCCAGGCTGTTCCTTCACCCAGGCTGTTCCTCACCTAGGCTGTTCCTTCACCCAGGCTGTTCCTTCACCCAGGCTGTTCTTCACCCAGGCTGTTCCTTCACCCAGGCTGTTCCTTCACCAGGCTGTTCCTTCACCCAGGCTGTTCCTTCACCCAGGCTGTTCCTTCACCCAGGCTGTTCCTTCACCCAGGCTGTTCCTTCACCCAGGCTGTTCCTTCACCCAGGCTGTTCCTTCACCCAGGCTGTTCCTTCACCCAGGCTGTTCCTTCACCCAGGCTGTTCCTTCACCCAGGCTGTTCCTTCACCCAGGCTGTTCCTTCACCCAGGCTGTTCCTTCACCCAGGCTGTTCCTTCACCCAGGCTTCATCTCTTCAGAAAGTTTGTTCTTTTTCCTGATATTTATTCAGAGATGCATTTTACAATTTTTCAGGACACTGGTGAGTGTGTTGGTGTTGCTGGTGTTGGTAGCTGGTATTATTGACATGTATATTGAGAAAACCAACAACACATCGCTGGCCCAGGGTAAGTTCACCGACTGGTTGATTTATTAAACTTAAATAACATCGACTACACCAAGACTTTTAATATAAGATAATAATAATAATGTAATATTCTTATTAACTACATGTACAAGGTATACAGTCTTAGCTGACATCAGTGACATACTGCTATATAGAAAGTCGCTTGTTATACTGAGCTTATCGGGGAAATTAGGTCAGTTTTGTCCCAGGATGCGACCCACACCAGTCGACTAACACCCAAGTACTCATTATTACTGATGGGTGAACATGGACAACCGGTGTAAGGAAACACGCCCAATGTTTCTACCCTCTCTGGGAATCGAACCCAAATTCTCACCATGTGAAGCGAAAGCTTCAGCCACCAGGCCACGGGGCACCGTTGCCGTTCACCTGTACACCACCAGTCAAGGATATTTACATCCCTAATAAAGGTCTTCTGGTTAACATTCACAGTGTGTATACATCATTAAGAGAGATATTGAAGTAAATTATCAACATACATATACTAACTCATATACACTAACTTTTTAACATTTTATTAAACCTGTTTTAGGTCCAATACTTTCCAAGTATATTTATCTCGTTAAAATTTTATTTAGACTTTTGTATGTTCTGGAATACACTGTTTATCAATACAGTTGTTTATCTACAAATGTAAACCAGGAAATTTGCGAAGGTAAACCCCGGGTGGAGGAGACGAGTGTTTACAACAGTTCTTTATTCGGACAACGGAGAACTTCGTTTTAATTAACTTTAATAATAATAATCTTTATTTACTACAAGTATATGTACATGGTATACAGTCCTAGCTGACAACAATGACATACTACTACATAGAAAGCCACTTGTTATGCTGAGCATCTCGGGCAAATTTGGTCAGTGTCCCAGGATGCGACCCACACCAGTCGACTAACACCCAGGTACCCATTTTACTGATGGGGAACATAGACAACAGGTGGAAAGAAACACGCCCAATGTTTCTACTCTGGCTGGGAATCGAACCCAGGCCCTCACCGTGTGAAGCGAGAGCGTTAACCACCAGGCCACCAGAGCGATACTTTGTCCCAGTGAAGAGTTTTCTCTACGTGTGCCTTGTTTCCAGTGTGTGATGAATCTGACACATGTGTAACATCGAGGTATCTTCACTTGTAGACGTTCCGCCATCCAGTGGCTTTATCAATACAATACTGATCAAGCCACTGGATGGGGAAACATCTACAAGAAAAGATACCTGGATGTTGCATGGGTGTCTAATTCATCATGGTGTTGCTACTGAGTACCAAAGATATATAACATGTTATGATGGGTTAATTAATCGTATCTTCATGAAAGTGAATATCTCAGGTGGTGTTCGCTTCCTCCTGCCCTTCTCACTCTACACTAACACCAGGAAGCTCTTTGACTTCTGTGATGAGAAACCTGGTGTCATCAGCTGTGTTCATGGTATCAAGTATGTATTTATGACTGTATATATATATTATTTAATATATATATTATATATAATTTTATATATATATATATATATATATAATATATATATATTATATATAAATTATAGATATATATATATATATATATATATATATATATATATATATATATTTTATATATATATATATATAATATGTCGTGCGAATATGTAAAATTGGTCAATTAGCAAGAACTCATTAAATTAAGTCCTTTTTAAATTTTCTCTTATACGTTTAGAGATATATTTTTTTCATTAATGTTGACGTAAAAATTTATAATTTTGCACCAAAAGAATTTTAGAAAACTTACCTAACCTTATTATAACAAGAACAATTTATTTTAGCCTAACCCAACTAAATATATTTTAGATTTGTTTACAATAATTTAATACTAAACAAACACAGTGAAATATGTTTTTTCCGTTAGGTTCAGAATGGTTTTGGCAAAATTATTGCATACAAAAATTTTCACTTGTCTTATATGGCAAGACGAGCGTTGCTATTCAAGCCAAGATCACAAGTTCTGCTATTCGGCACGACTATATATATATATATTATATATATATATAAAACTCATATATATATATATATATATATATATAATAATATAATATATATATATATATTATATATATATATATATATAAAATATATATAAAACTCTGTCACCCTACTTTCTCTCTTTACTATAACTCTGTCACCCTACTTTCAGCCTTTGCTATAACTCTGTCGCCCTACTTTCTGTCTTCGCTATAACTCTGTCACCCTACTTTCTATCTTTTACTATAACTCTGCCACCCTACTTTCTGTCTTTGCTATAACTCTGCCACCCTACATTCTGTCTTTGCTATAACTCTGTCACCCTACTTTCTTTCTTTGCTATAACTCTGTCCCTCTACTTTCTGTCTTTACTATAATTCTGTCACCCTACTTTCAGCCTTTGCTATAACTCTGTCGCCCTACTTTCTGTCTTTGCTATAACTCTGTCACCCTACTTTCTGTCTTTGCTATAATTCTGTCACCCTACTTTCTGTCTTTGTTTATAATTTCTGTCGCCCTACTTTCTGTCTTTGCTATAACTCTGTCACCCTACTTTCTTTCTTTGCTATAACTCTGTCACCCTACTTTCTGTCTTTGCTATAATTCTGTCACCCTACTTTCTCTCTTTGCTATAACTCTGTCACCCTACTTTCTGTCTTTGCTATAACTCTGCCCCTACTTTCTCTCTTTGCTATAACTCTGTCACCCTACTTTCTGTCTTTGCTAAAAACTCTGTCACCCTACTTTCTCTCTTTGCTATAACTCTGTCACCCTACTTTCTCTCTTTGCTATAACTCTGTCATCCTACTTTCTGTCTTTGCTATAACTCTGTCACCCTACTTTCTGTCTTTACTATAACTCTGCCACCCTACTTTCTGTCTTTGCTATAACTCTGTCACCCTGCTTTCTGTCTTTGCTACAACTCTGCCACCCTACTTTCTGTCTTTGCTATAACTCTGTCACCCTGCTTTCTGTCTTTGCTACAACTCTGTCACCCTACTTTCTGTCTTTGCTATAACTCTGTCACCCTACTTTCTGTCTTTGCTATAACTCTGCCACCCTGCTTTCTCTCTTTGCTATAACTCTGTCACCCTACTTTCTGTCTTTGCTATAACTCTGTCACCCTACTTTCTGTCTTTGCTATAACTCTGTCACCCTACTTTCTGTCTTTGCTATAATTCTGTCACCCTACTTTCTGTCTTTACTATAACTCTGCCACCCTACTTTCTGTCTTTGCTATAACTCTGACACCCTACTTTCTGTCTTTGCTATAACTCTGTCACCCTACTTTCTGTCTTTGCTATAACTCTGTCACCCTACTTTCTGTTTTTGTTATAACTCTGTCGCCCTACTTTCTCTCTTTGCTATAACTCTGCCACCCTACTTTCTGTCTTTGCTATAACTCTGTCACCCTACTTTCTGTCTTTGCTATAACTCTGTCACCCTACTTTTTTTCTTTGCTATAAATCTGTCACTCTACTTTCTGTCTTTGATTTAACTCTGTCACTCTACTTTCAGCCTTTGTTATAACTCTGTCGCCCTACTTTCTGTCTTTGCTATAACTCTGTCACCCTACTTTCTGTCTTTGCTATAACTCTGTCACCCTGCTTTCTGTCTTTACTATAACTCTGTCACCCTACTTTCTGTCTTTGCTATAACTCTGTCACCCTACTTTCTCTCTTTGCTATAACTCTGTCACTCTACTTTCTGTCTTTGCTATAACTCTGTCACCCTGCTTTCTGTCTTTACTATAACTGTGTCACCCTACTTTCTGTCTTTGCTATAGCTCTGTCACCCTACTTTCTCTCTTTGCTATAACTCTGTCACCCTACTTTCAGCCTTTGCTATAACTCTGTCGCCCTACTTTCTGTCTTTGCTATAACTCTGTCACCCTACTTTCTGTCTTTGCTATAATTCTGTCACCCTACTTTCTGTCTTTGCTATAACTCTGTCACGCTACTTTCTGTCTTTGATATAACTCTGTCACCCTACTTTCTCTCTTTGCTATAACTCTGTCACCTTACTTTCTGTCTTTGCTATAACTCTGCCACCCTACGTTCTGTCTTTGCTATAATTCTGTCACCCTACTTTCTGTCTTTACTATAACTCTACCATCCTACTTTCTGTCTTTGCTATAACTCTGTCACCCTACTTTCTGTCTTTGCTATAACTCTGTCACCCTACTTTCTGTCTTTGCTATAACTCTGTCACCCTACTTTCTGTTTTTGTTATAACTCTGTCGCCCTACTTTCTCTCTTTGCTATAACTCTGCCACCCTACTTTCTGTCTTTGCTATAACTCTGTCACCCTACTTTCTGTCTTTGCTATACCTCTGTCACCCTACTTTCTTTCTTTGCTATAACTCTGTCACTCTACTTTCTGTCTTTGTTTTAACTCTGTCACCCTACTTTCAGCCTTTGTTATAACTCTGTCGCCCTACTTTCTGTCTTTGCTATAACTCTGTCACACTACTTTCTGTCTTTGCTATAACTCTGTCACCCAACTTTCTGTCTTTGCTATAACTCTGTCACACTACTTTCTCTGTTTGCTATAACTCTGTCACCCTACTTTCTCTCTTTGCTATAACTCTGTCACCCTATTTTCTGGCTTTGCTATAACTCTGTCACCCTACTTTCTTTCTTTGCTATAACTCTGTCATGCTACTTTCTGTCTTTGCTATAACTCTGTCACCCAACTTTCTGTCTTTGCTATAACTCTGTCACACTACTTTCTCTCTTTGCTATAACTCTGTCACCCTACTTTCTCTCTTTGCTATAACTCTGTCACACTATTTTCTCTCTTTGCTATAACTCTGTCACCCTACTTCTCTCTTTGCTATAACTCTGTCACCCTACTTTTGTCTTTGCTATAACTCTGTCACCCTCCCTTTCTGTCTTTGCTATAACTCTGTCACCCAACTTTCTGTCTTTGCTATAACTCTGTCACACTACTTTCTCTGTTTGCTATAACTCTGTCACCCTACTTTCTCTCTTTGCTATAACTCTGTCACCCTATTTTCTGGCTTTGCTATAACTCTGTCACCCTACTTTCTCTCTTTGCTATGACTCTGTCACCCTACTTTCTCTCTTTGCTATAACTCTGTCACCCTACTTTCTCTCTTTGCTATAACTCTGTCACACTATTTTCTCTCTTTGCTATAACTCTGTCACCCTACTTTCTGTCTTTGCTATAACTCTGTCACCCTACTTTCTCTCTTTGCTATAACTCTGTCACGCTACTTTCTCTCTTTCCTATAACTCTGTCACGCTTCTTTCTCTCTTTGCAGTAACTCTCTATAACAGTTCTACAATGCACTTTATTCATTATACTCAACATTCGCTGAAAATCTGTAAGTAAATAATGCAGTACAATATACACTGTCATAATGAATTAGACAAGTGGATAACATCTGAGTATTTATTTGTACGTTTCGCCATTCATTGGGTTTATCAGTACAATACCTGGATGTAATGTGAAGACTTGAGAAATATATACAGCTTGTATTATATTGATAAAACCACTGAATGGCCAAACGTCTACAAATAAAGATATCCAGATGTCGAACATGTGTCTAATTCATCGTCATGTCGGTGTTGAATAACACTGTTATATACACACTATTATGTTGTTCACTTACCACCTTGACCTGACCTCGAGTTTGTCATTGGCCAGGGTGTTGTCCATGACGTGGGTGGTGTACGGGCACCAGCAGAGCATACCATACCCCTTCTTCTTCAATACCAATGGGATTTGGAAGGTCAGTGTCTAAGCATGTCTCACATTGTTTTGGAAAAACAGTGAATGTTTTACACAGACTTTCTAGTACGTCAGTTTAAATGTGGCTCAATGTCTACCAGATGTTATTGAAATATATACGTTCGTTGTGTATCATGTTCTTCCAATCATTAATTATAGAATAATTCCCTGTGACTGTGGTACTCATTACCACATCATGGAGACGCTTTTATCTTCCACTACCTGTGAAATATTTTTTATTGTTGTTTCTGCCCAATAAGCCCAGTTTACATTATTATTATTATAATCAAAAGAAGCGCTAAACAGCAAGGGTCAGCCGAGTTTAGACAATATACCGAACTTCCTCAAAAATTAAACTTGTTGAGAAATGGTTTACCAGCTAAGATATAATTTTAAACATAGGGAATACTTAGCTGATAAAAGACAGTAAATAGTCTACACAGCCGCCCCTGCAGACGAGGTCTTGAATTGTTATCATGATCATCTCTCAACGGGCTGTAATAGATCATATTATGTAAACAATGAATTACCCCTAGGGGGTGTTTTGTCAGCATATTTCATTCACTGATTGCTGACAAACTTACGTGTGTGGATTCAAAGGTCCGCATATGACCGGGGTTTATGATAAGTGACTAACTCACGACTTAATACTCAACTGCGCAGTCAATAGTAGTATATCACGAGTTAGAACACTTACCTGAGTATATGTCTGACCCGTAATTACACCAGGATATCCATTGAGTTGATTGAAGAATAGTGTTCTTTGAAGAATGTCGCACTACACTCTGTTGGATCGCAACACTCGTTGTTACACTGTTCATCAATAATTGTGCTGTATGATGCATACCCTTGCATTTAAAACACTTCTTCAGTGAGCATTTTCCTCCTTTGTGTTCACCTAAACACTTGATGCACCTTTTCAGCTGATGAACACGTTGTTTACGTGCCTCCATTGATGTGTATTGACTACAATACTGTGCCCAATGTGTTCCATCACAAAGTACACATTTTGGAGTACGTTTATGTGTGACAGTTTGTTTACTGTCTGTTGTATTCACAGCTTGATAAATGCCTATATGGGATTTCCCATTATGTGGTTTAGTGAGAGTAGGTATACTCTTTTTATACTGAGTTGAAGGTTTATTATCCACGAGATTTGTGGATTTTTCATCTTGTCTCGTTGCTTGCATGCATGAAACTATTGTTTGTAAACCATTGCTAATTTCTTCACAAGTGAAATAGCGTTTATTGAACATAATATTTAATCGTTCAATAGTTTGTGGTGACAACTTATTCTGTACAATACCACTGATGAACCAATCACATTGCCTTAGGTCATATTTAGCACCTAGAGATCTGAGACTACTGTCTAATGTGATTCTAAATGCTTGTAAGTCTGAAAAACAATGTTTGGGTGGCTTCAAACTTGATATTAAGACTGCATGTCTAACTCTAGCCTTGTCAGCATCAAAGTAATTGTCTGCTAAGACACGTAAGGCTATTTGATAATTGCCTTTAACCACCGGAAATGACTTAATCAGTTCACAAGATATTTAAGATAATTGAACTTAGCAATATCATCTATGTCAATTCGTGAATTTACTATGGACTGAAAACCACTAATGAATTCTTCATAATTATGACCTTGGAAAATAGGTAATGACAATGTAGGTAAGCTTGGTAATGGGACACTTGTTGTTGTTACAGGTGTAACAGGTGTTTGACCACTAGTTACAGTAGGTCTCTGTGACAGAGTTTTGCGGCAGATAGCCTGTACTCCTGTCCACCTTAATTGTTGATTACTAAATGTATCCAAAACATTTTTAATTTCATCTTCAGATGGATCTGATTCAAGAAACTTATTTTCATAATGTGTATAGTCTGAATTAATTATTTTCAGACGTTGTGTAAGTAATTCAAATTTGACCTCAAGATCATCAAAATCTATGTTTGTATCTTGAGTTAATCCTATACAGACTGAAATTAGATTTTTCTAATTATGAAATCTTAGTCTGTAAAGACTGAAACTGAGTTTTCAAACAAGCCATTTTAATGGTATTGCTCAAAATTCTAGCACCACATTTAGAGTGTTTAAAAAACACTGTACTGCTATAAACAGCTGAGTTTTTGTTATGCTTAAGTCAGCAATAATCGAGTCAGACACTACTGACCCACTAAGCTTAACCTCAGCGTCAATGACCATGAAGGGTACACAGTACATGTGGCTGGTGTTTATGGCTTGAGTTTGCTGTGTCAGCCTGACCACCATGATTAATCGTAAATAACGATGCTATACACTTCATTCACTATACACTATAAATGTCACTGTATAACTGTAAATCACACGTGAATATTACTTACACATATATAAATTTCACTGTTAATATGTATTTGAAAGCTTACACTTTATATGTAAGTTCCTTTAATATAACAGGTATATCTATAAAAAACAAACTTTAACACAATCTTCTCTCTTAATTTCTGTTTATAAACATAAACACTATGTATATACACACTCAGACAAACTGAACATCAGTTGGGTTGTTGCCGTAGTCAGCGTTTTGAGCTTGGAGCAGTGGATGCCGGGTGCCATCCCCCTGGTTCTTGTTGGGTGAGTCACCCAGCTCCCGTTTTCTTTGGGTGAACGTGTGGAGCGGCGGTCGCTTGACCATGTCCCATACTGGTACTGCATCTGGGATCAATTTCTCGCTGTAGCGGTAAACAAGATGCTTGCCCCTTCTAAAAGGGCTGGGCCCCTCAGGGCTGAAAGGGCTGAAAGGGGCTTAAGGGGGCTGATACCCCCTCCTGGAGAAAATTTCTCCACAAAACTTTTCCAAAGTCTTCACTTTCAAGATGATATATGTATTTCTTTCATTAACAATGATATAATGTTTTTTATTTTTGGACCAAGACTAAATTAGAAATCTCACCTAACCTCCCTTAGACTAACGCAATTTTTTTTAGTTAAATTCTGCTAAATATTCCATAGGTCAATTTAAATATATTTAATATTACATTAAATAAATGATATATTTTTTCGTTATGCTCAGATTGAATTTAGCAGAGTTATACAAAAACAAACATTCCATTTGCCATTTGCCTATGTGGCAGAGGACGTCCTTCTTTTACAGACCAAACTGCGCAGTTCGGCATATTTGACACGGTAGTGCAGCATGTGGAGAATTCCATATTATTAGTAAGTCTGCTTAGGCTCTGCATACAAGCAGAGTTACACAGGTTGATGTGACTACAACCTACATAACATCGTAAATGTGAAGGAGAGGGAGCATGAACACAGGGGTTATCAGAGTCACTAAAAATAACAAACATAGCCCCACTCCACAAAGGTGGCAGTAAAGAATTTGTAAAGAACTACAGACCGATAGTACTTATGCACCATATCATAAAAATCTTTGAAAGGGTTCTAAGAAGCAAGATCGCCATCTACTTAGATACCCATCAGTTACACAACCCATGGCAGCATGAGTTTAGAGCAGGTCGCTCCTGCCTGCTCCAGCTACTAGTCCACTCTTTGACAAGATCTTGGATGCTCTGGAGGATAAACAAAATGCAGATGTAATATACACAGACTTTGCGAAAGCCTTTGACAAGTGCGACCATGGTGTAATAGTGCACAAAATGCATGACAGAGGAACAATAGGAAAAGTTGGTTGATGGATATATAACTTCCTGACAAATAGAACAAGAAGAGTAATAGTAAACAGAGTAAAGTCTGAGGCGGCTACAGTGAAAAGCTCTGTTCCACAAGGCACAGTACTCTCTCCCATCCTGTTTCTCAACCTCATTTTTTAAATAAACAGAGATGTAAGCTACAGCACCGTGTCTTCCTTTGCGGATGACACCCGAATTTACATGACGGTGTTATTCATCGAAGACACTGCAAGTCTCCAAGTGGATATCAGTCAAATCTTTAAATGAGACGCAGTAAACAATATGAGGTTCAATCAAGAGAAATTTCAGTTACTCCGATATGGAAAACTCGAGGAGACTGAAACTATATATAGGAAATTCCAACCACACACAATAGAGTGAAAAACTAAAGTGAAGGACCTGGGAGTGATAATGTCAGAGGATCTCACTTTCAAAGATCGCAACAATGTATTTACCACATCTGCTAAGAAAATAATAGAATGGATAATGAGAGCCTTCAAAACTAGAGATACCAAGCCCATGATGATTCTCCTCAAATCGCTTTTTCTCTCTAGGCTGAAATATGGTATACACTAACAGCTCCTTTCAATGTAGGCAAAATTGCAGACCTGGAGAATGTACAGAGAACTTTCACGGCATGTATAAGTACGATAAAGCACTTAAATTACTGGGGACGGTTAAATCTCTTGATTTGCATTCCCTGGAACGCAGACGAGAAAGATATATGATAATATACGCTTGGAAAATTCCTGAGGGACTAATCACAAATTTGCACACGAAAATCACTCCATACGAAAGCAAAAGACTCGGTAGGAGATGCAACATCCCCCAATGATAAGCAGGGGCGCCATGAGTACACTGAGAGACAACATATTAAGTGTCAAAGCCCCAAGACTGTTCAACTGCCTTACATAAGGGGGATTACCAATAGACCCCTGGCTGTCTTCAAGAAGGCACTGGACATGCACCTATAATCAGTACCCGACCAGCCGGGCTGTAATTCGTACGTCGGTTTGTGTACGGCCAGCAGCAACAGCCTGGTTGATCAGGCCCTGATCCATCACAAGGCTTGCTTACAAACCGGGCCTTGAGGGCGTTGACTCCCAAAACCCTTTCCAGGTATATTATAAACACAGGTGTAGAGCGGCCTGTGAACCTGGTCGTAATGGGATTTAGAGTAGAGCAAACAAAATTCAGCACTAATAAATGACTTGTATTTTCCTTCACCAGATACAAATGCCAGTATTTACAAGTATGTACACTTATGTACACTATGTACAGTAGTGGAATATTAAGTGTACCACACGGTGATAAAAGATGGCAAAAGCA